CCTCGGAGCATTGGTAGGTCCAGTACGGCTTGGCATACCTTGATGGGTTGATGTTAGGTATAGTTTCCCTTATTACTTTCTGGATGATTGGGGTGATCAAAGTCACTTTGTGATCGATGGCTTGGCGAGAGTTTAGTTCACTGTGTTTTGTTCTCAGTGTGAGTAGTTCAGCATTAAGTATCTTGTTGACTTCATACCAGTTTGCTTTTTTCCATCGACGACACGGAACCATCGCTTCTTTAAGACTCGATTGAGTTGACAGCTGCGTATGGATTGGAATGTGGTCAGAGGACGCCTCCAGCTCACCGACAGGTTGGCAGAATGTAACTGCGTCTTCTAGCTCTATAGATAGGAAGACTAGATCGAAAGTACTCTCACCTCCCCTTTTACTCCAGGTTTTTGTCCCCTCAGGAAGTACTAGCTCTATATCTTTACTTCCTAGCATTTCGATATATTCGTCTGCAAGTTTATGGTGGCTATATACTGTTTGGCCTCCCCATCTAGGGTGGTGTAGGTTGAAGTCACCCACGAGGATATGTTGACCGTTTTTCGAGAGAATTTCTGGGAGATACTTTAGGGTTCCTAGATTCTTCCTGCTATGAGTGAGAGGAGGAGGGTTGTATATATTAGTAATGTATACCAGACCTCCATTGGTTTGGATACTGATGGTAGTTATATCTCCATCAGCTTCCTCTGGACTCTTTTCCATCCTCCACTTATTGACTGCGAGGTGTTTGCTTAAGTATATGCATGTTCTGCAATTGTTTCCTCTTGGAAACACCAGGTAGTAAGCTAGATGTTTGACTGTTGTATTTTCTGTTGGGTGGCGCCATGGTTCTTGTAATGCCACTTCATGGTGCTTCGTTAGATCTAACGCTTGGAGAAAGTGATGTTGTCAAACATCTGATGGTTTGGAACCTACTGAATATGGTAATGAGAATCATTGGATAGTGGGATGACACATCTTGTCGGATTAACTAACTCGAGCTTTGATATCTCACCAGGGATATGGTGTTCAGGATGTTCAGGATGTTCAGGATGTTCAGGATGGTCAGGATAGTCAAAGCTCCAACTTGAGATCTTTTGATCTTCAGCACATGTAATATATTTCATATGTAATTTTGGAAAACGAGGAGAAGATAATCTCTCCTCGAAATAGTTTCAGATGGGTATATAGCATCACTGCTGGAGAGGAGTTGAGGAGCAGAGATTTCATCAATACCACTTCACTTTACTTTACATTTTTCATTTGATCCTCAGTGTCTAACAGATGTTGTTCTATGTTTTTGCTTTTGTTGACGTTATACTGTATGATATTTAGCGTATTTGTGTCCTTCTTTGGCACATTGTGCACTGCTGTGCTTCACTAATCTCTACTACATCTACCTGGGTCTTGTGTCCTGTTGAGGACCGCTTTAGCTTTGGCTGAGATTCTAACTGGACAGCTAGAGTCCCTGTCAGACCAGTATCAGAACCCGGTGGAATTCGTATTCCTGAATTAATGTTTCGTGATTCATGTAAATTCCATTCTTCTAACATGATTGTAACATTATTGTCAGAATAATATGCCAAGCTGGTACCTGACATAATTTGTGATTGCCTCAGGAAAACCTTGGCGTTTTGGGTAATTTTCAGCTACAAAATGCTTGGCGTCCGTGTAACAGACGTGGTGGACTGGTATTGAGTCGGTTTGGGATTACATCTTGGCTACAACATGTTTGGATTGTATCCTGTGATGTAAGTAAGCTATTTCTAGATATTATCATCTTACGTCAGGTAGTAGATATGTGTAGATATATAAGCTGAGAGAAAGAGGAAGGAAGATAGACAGACAGACAATTACATCTTTTTATTTCACTTCAATTAAAAGCTCCTGTGCGAGCTATTCTTCCAGATACCTCTAGTCTCAATCATTACAGCTTCCGAACCAGCTCAAAAGGTTCGACAGTCCCATAAGTGGTGGTGCCTTGCACAATTGTCGCATCTTGTCTCGGGGTTACCTGAGCATTCTCTGGTGTTGTGGTTACCGGCACACTGGCCACATTTGGAAGCGGCGATGCAAACCTTTGCAATATGGCCGTACCTCTGACAGTTAAAGCACTGCATAGCGCGGAATCCTGATCGAAAGGTCTCTGTTGCTTTCAGTTCATATTTCCACATTATCCCTTTCGCAATTGCTTTATCTGCTGTTTCTGCCTGTTCAAACCAGACGATTAGAGAACCTGCAGCTTTCTCTGGCTGCAAATGTTTTTTCAGCCATGTAGCCCTCTGTATCCTTATACCTTGTATGTATACTGCATTCGATTTTTCTAGCTCCCTGAGATGTTCTGAATTTCTTAGGTCGAATGACCGAGGCATATCGTGTACAAATGTTTGGTATGTGGGACAAACTAATTGTGCTGTAGCTGCCAGCTTTGTCGTCCATTTTTTTCTCCTCTCAATCATTTCTTTGGCTTCTTGGCCGGCGTAGTATACTCTCACCTGTCCATTTGACATCTTCCTGGCTCCGACAATTTTGTTGCTGCCAATCTTCTTCACTAACTCTTCGCTGGAGAGCTTTGAGACTTCTCTCTTCTCATTCTCATCCAGTATTCTTATTGTGGTACCTGCAACTTCAGGCTTGCTTGCTATCTTTTCCCATGATTGTTCTCGTCCTTGGGTCGAGCCTTGGGGCTGAGCGATTAATACTTTAATAGATTTTATTTCCTATAAGATCTTAGCTATCTCTGTGCTCTCATTACTAGCCTTTAGGGCAGGGTGTATGTTCGCGTCGCGAAGGCCTTCTATGATGCGAATGACCTCTGATATCAACTTCTTGTACGCTCTGCTTGAAAGCTCTTCGCCTTCAATTGCTTTCTTCAACTTTTGTAGGGCTGCGCCGGTTTCTTGTGGCTTCTTCGACGCGTCGTTTCCACCGCTGTGGTCTGTTCGTGACTTTCTACAATGGGAATCCTTCTTAGGATTACTGGTAACCTCAGACATGACAAGGCTGGAGCCCTATGGGATAAAATCAATGGGGTCGATTTTTCGAAATGGTGATTTTTTTTCCCGGAGCGCTATGTTATTTTTGCTTCAGATAAATACCTTTTTTTATGGATTTTGTGAAGTTAATGAAAAGCCTTAACTTTCTCTTTTATAGTTATGCTCACAACATCGTAGTTATCTACGGAGCTATGAAAGATCTTTAAGTTTTGCGCTTCTTTTATACATGAATAATTTCTCTTAATGCTGATTACATATTCTTAAGGTCCATTTGGGTTCGAAAAGGTATTCTCTGATTAGACAAGAGAATAAGGTTTAATTAACTCTTAAAGAAACGGTCAACCCAGCTAAATTGAACGAGTTGAAGAATTTTTTTATTGCATACAAATTGGCTGAGATGTAAAAATGGCCAGTATAATTTTGCGGCACAGATAAATACTGAAGCCATCAGTTCAATCCATTCCCTCCATAAGCTCTACTTTGTCGAGAATCATGTCCCTCCGATTCACCCATTCCTTGATGAGCTCCCAATCCTCCCCTTCCTCCTCGCCCCGACGCCAGCTTTCACGGAAGCCCCAAGCGCCAGCAACTCGATCTATTGCCGCTCTTTCTTCCTCGCGTATCCATCTTTGCCAAAGCGGCATGCCAGGAGCCCATGTTACACGATCCATTTGATCATTAGCCGTAGAAATGGTGAGAAGTCCTATAATTGAGGTAAGTCCAATGTAGCCTGTTATGCCTAGGAATGCAACCCTAGTAGCAAATGCTGTATCCATAGTGGTTTGCCAGTTTGCAAGCTGCAAAGCAAGAGAATATGAAACCAATGGGCTAAGAGCGAGCCCAGAGGCTGGTAGCATAGCCTTCCGCATTACTTTTGAGGCTTTGAATGCTCTTGTTGTGAACGATATTTCAATTATGTCGAGTGCGACAACCAGCATCCCAGCCTTAATGGCAGTTTCCAGGGCCTTTTGTGCAATTTCGGAGGGGATGGCGTTTTTTAAGCTTTTGGCATTCTGTTGAGAATATTGCACTATTGACTTTTCTACCCTTGGAATAGGTTTTTGTGCATAAAGCTTGAACACCTCTGGCAATGTCTCCGGAGAGCCCAAATTTGCTTGAGTTGAAACGTACATGTCCAAGAGGACAGGACTAATGAAAACTTTGGGATTTTTTATCACAGAATAAGCTAGCTCTGACAGAGAGTTTATCATAAGTTGCAAATTCTGGGTAGCATTACGATCTGACAGCTTCAAGGTTGAGTTATCCAGCGCAAGAAGAGCTGATGTAGCCCCAGCTTTACTCTGTACAGGCCTTGAAAGGTCTAATGCCAGAATTCTTGATTGGTCGATGCATTTTTCGAAGAAATTCTCTAAATTATTATTTGAGGGAAGTGTTTGTTGAGATAAAAGTAACTTGCGATCGTGTTCTAGCTCTTGCATAACAGCCTGAAGCTTAGTTTCTCTCTGACTAGCATTACTCGAAAGACGAAAACCTTGGACGAAAATACCATTAACATTTTTCCGTTCGCATCTCCGAGTAGGAGAAATGTAATGTACCAGACGTAAGAATAAAATTTTTTGTCGTCTGAAGGGGATCTGATCGATGGTCAACAAGAATGGCGAAAAGTGCGGGAATTTTAAAGTTGGATCACACAACCTGTGACCATGAAGCCGAATTGTGAGGCTTGGTTTTAACATATCGTAAGTTTCAGTTCATACTACGTGCCCCATCATTTTTGTTAGATAACCTTGATAGATCCGGGAGTGAAGGCGTCTATTCGATATATGTTGGTTACGGTGCGACCGATAGGCGCATGTCACTGTTTCTGGAACCGCGCCAATCGTTCAGTAGATTACATTGTACGCCCTGATTCAGACTGGCTTTGCCATCCAATCGAAAAAAAATTGCCAAGGGAAATGCAAATCAACTTGAAGGATCGCTTCACAGTAATAGAGCTTAGTTCTAGTCTAACCTGTATCTCTCGCTGTCCATAAGCAATTTACCTCTGCAACGAAGAAATGCCCTTACCCCCTCCTCCGCCGCCTCCACCACCTGGAAATCTACCACCAAGACCCGCAGTAGGGAATCGTGTAAGACCTCCAAGTTTGACAGGCGCCAATATCGAACCGTTTAACAGTCTTCCGTTGCTAATTATGATAGAATGCTTTATTAACAGACATCACAAAGGGAAAACAACTTAAGAAGGCTACCACGAATGATCGTTCAGCTCCCATTGTTGCAAAAGCTCAAAATACTCTAGCAAATAATTCATTGGCTCCAGCTCCTCCAGTACCCGGAGTTCCAAGGGCACCGGCTCCTCCGGTTCTAGATGGAAATCAAGCGCAAAGTGTCAGGAATAAAGAAGGTCGGTCAAGTGGAGGCTTCTTAGGAGCTGGAAATACAACCAGTATAGGAGGTCTTTTCGCTGGCGGAATACCCAAATTGAAAAAGCGGAATGGAGGAGTAGATACGGGAGGTGCGCTTTGCCCCTACAACGCTTTTTTACATGATATTAAATATTCTAGCTACGAACGAGCCCACAGTTATTCCTAGTTCGGAGCCATCTTATACTGCCGCTCAAAAGTTTTTACCCGTAACAGCTCCAAAGCAACCGTCAGGGCCACCTCCTATTCCAGGTACTCAGAATGGAACTAAATCAAGGTTCTTTGCACAGAGTGTTGAGAGTTCGCGAAAAGCAGAATCGAATTACCTACCACAACCTACTTCTGTAGCACCTTCAAAGGCTCCCCCTCCACCAGTCGGAAAAAAACCACCAGCTCCTCCACCGGTGTCACGAAAACAGTCCAGAGCCCAAATCTCGAATAGTATTTCTTCAGCACCTCCTCCAGCACCGCCACCACCTCTTCCATCAGCAACACCGCGGCCTCTAGCAAGTGTTTTGAGGACCTCCCCTCTTTCCTCTCAAACATCTTTACCGCCCACGACTGCTATAAACCAAAATCTAGCTATGCAGGCAGCTATTCGCGCGGCAGAACAAGCTTCTCCGTCAATCGCGACTCAGCCGCCTGTACACGCTTCTCTGAAGCTTACATCAGATAATAGTTTCGTTCCTGGTCATTCAGCTGAAATTGAAACAGACAAGGAAAGTAACAATAAGAGTTTCAACTCTAGAAGAATAATTATAAATGATTCAAGATGGAAATTTACGGACGACTCAATGCTACCAAAACCAAGACAATTTCAAGGAGGCCCTAAAAAATATAGAGCAGGCCGTGGAAGTAGTGTTCCACTCGATATAAACGCATTCCTATGAATTTTTAATGGTAGTTTACGTAACAGGTAGCCGGCGCTTACAAACTGATTTTACGAAGGAAATTTTATGTGACTTAATGAAAAGAAGGTTTCAAATGCTTTGGACATTAAGCCCAAAAAGCATACCAAAAACTATTTCAAAAAAATTTGTTTGAGTTTGTACTTGTCAACTACAAATAATGCAGGGATGGTTTCGTTTGATGAAGAAGGATTATAGTTGAATTTCAGATTAGCGATTGTTTCACATATGATATATCCATGAACCAGGTGCGAAAACTTTAAGTTTCTGTAGAAGAAAATACCAGGAGGATAGGATGTTACACAATCAGATAAGAATTTAGATCACAATCACAAGTTTGTGGATTAGAATTAGTGCTGCGAGACACATTGACATGACTGTGGCTACTTTTCTCCTCAAGCAGTTTTATAACCGGTTTTTTATTCATTTAATCGTATTAAGCTCTCTAGATTTCGTACGTGATCAAACAATGTATACATATTTGATGACTAATATGACGTTAGAGGCACTCATACTCTAGATTTCATTCGCAAATACCACAATGAGGTATGCTTGCTTACACAAACAGTCGACCCTCCTCCGTTAGTACCAACCAAAGGGACGTTTCGAAACCTTCAGTTATCCAAGCATGCTTTCCTCATTCATGTAAACTTACATCGCGAGAGGTATGGTTGCGTAAAGCCGGTTTCGAACCAGCGATATCCTGTCTTAAGTGGGATTTGTGTCCAAGCCATTCAAGATCTACTGTGGAGATAGGCCCGGAAGATGTACAACTGCACCATACAACCATAGCGGTGTTTAAAGTGTCGCCTGCAATCTCGCAACCGAAGTCTTGGCGCGCACAAAGCTCAATTTGTAAAAACACCTTGCGAAATTCCAAAATTACACGCCTGTCGAGAATGTATCCTATCTCCGTGTCATCTTGTAAACTTGACCTGATTCCTCTCACGTCCATTCCAAAGAGCTATCTCCCATATTTGTACGCTACGCTTTACTTCCTCCGTCGGGTGTAAATATCTGCGTGGGGGTGCGTTTGGTGTTCAGCTAAGGCCAGAGAATAGTCGACGAGAGGTGTGGACATTGAAACGAGGATGTACTAGGTCTTACTTGTAGACTTGATGAGGCTTAGGTAGGAATCGATCTTTTTTGGAATGAAAATTTGACGTGGTGGAGTTATTTGAATCATTGCCTCATGGGCCAACTTCTTGATTATTGCGAAATTTGACTGAACTTGACTCTGGGAGAATATTTCATTACTAGGTTCGTAGAGGACACCGCGTACATACGTTCAGTCATTGCCCTCCTGGGATTTGGCCCTGGAGGACTTAAAAAGGAAGATCCACCAGATCTTGAGTTCTCCAGCTTTGCAATTCTTATCTTAGTGACTTCATAATTGTAGCTATTATTGGCAGAAACAATTCGAATAAAGCTTTTTGTTAACCTCATGTTCTCGAAGCCGGCGATCTTGATCTATCCGGACACCTCGCCGTGAGAGTTACGTTTCTTGGGACCGTTCAGTGTGGCACGAGTATTATGTTGTAGTACAGGGCACAAGCAATTGAGTGAGAGAGAGATAGGTGTATTTGTTGCACTATTTGAGTCTATGAATATCTAGGACATTGAGCTTCCATCTGGCCCGAGCCACACCTTGCACTGTGCTCATTGCCTCTTTTGTTTCTTCAAAGATCATCGATATATTGCCCGTGATAAATAGCCATTTAGCTCAGTATTTACCCGTAGAATTCACCTAACTTTTCCGCGGAACCTTCTACCCCAAAAACATAAAATGGTGGTAATAGAAACTGCGTGCGCGGGATAAAGTCTCAAAAAACCTGCAGCTCCAGCCAAGCGGGGCCTTGACACCAGGATCACTCAGGGTGCGCATACTCATCTACATCTTCCTTCTCGTAAGAGTCGAGGTCGACTTGATCCATTCCACCATCTCCGTATCGGGTGCTGGGTACGCTACGGAAACTTATCGGATGGTTTTTTCCTCCATGATCAAGGGTTGGTGATGAGTAGGGCTCCGACCCTACCATCTGATCTGATTGTGGTTAGCTTCATGATAATGGTGATAGAGGGATGTATTTAGAGATGTAGATGATACAGACCGCGGTAGCGATTGGGGGTACTCATGGAAGTGAGGAAAAGTATGGGTTTAAAACTACTTGTAGAGTCTAACATTTTCTTATACAAAAATTTATACACCAAAATATTAGAAATATAGCAACAGAAACTACCAGCGCGGAAAAATCTCAAAAAGATATTAGAGCCATACGGAACGCGTATATCCATCTTATCTCCTATTTCTGTAACAAAAGAGATCGACTTGATTTAATCCGCCACCGCCGTATGGGGAGCTAGAAATACCTCAGAAACTCGTGGTACAGCTTTTCCGCTATAGTCGAGGAAAGAAGAGAGAGTGGAGAATAATAGGGCTTTGAGCCTACCATCAATTTTGATCTTGGTTAGCTTCATGAAATCACGCTGGAGCAATGCACTGAGAGATGATGAGAATGTAGGCCGCGAGACTGGCTGGAACACTTATCGAGGTTTTGACGAAGGTATTACCCTATTTCAGCTTTGCAGACTCTACAGTGAGAGCTAGAGGTGTGTATGGTGTTGTAATTCTAACAGTACTGCATCTTTTTTTTTTGCATCAGATTTTAGTTGCGTATGCAGCTATCTAGCTATGACACAATATCAAAGAAAAGTACAGAAAAGATGACTCAATTTACAAGAGGAGCCATCATGCCTCGGATTTCATTTGCAAGTACCACTGCGAAGTTATGGCGGCTTTTTCTTCACCCCAAGTCAACCCTCATCCGTGAATACCCACCCAGGGGAACGTCTCAAAAACCCTCAGTTATGCAGACATGCCTCCGTCATCCGTCAACCTTTCTCCGCGCGAAATGTAATCTGAGATGTCTCCTTCCCAAGTGGAGTAGGTGCCCAGGCTACTCAAACCATACCAGAGAACACCACCAGGAGACGGACCACGGCACCTTCCATCGTCGACTTGTGTTTGTAGTGGCAGCTGCTGTTATGAATCTACTTATTGGCAGATTTTCGAAGCTGTTAAGCTGCAGAGGTCGAGTCGATTTCGACGAAGACAAATTATCGAAGGTTCGAGGTTACAAAGTTACGAAGGTCGAAGGTCGAAGGTGCAAATGTCAAATGTGCGAAGGTATGAATGAAGGTAATCGAGGCTCGGACTATCAAAGTTACGAATTCATATGTTCAGATTATCATATTATCAATATATCGAATTCCCAATAAGCAAACTATACAATAATCGTAAAAGTAACAAAATTGTTAGAACTAAGGAACCAATTCAAATTTCCAGCCTGAACAAATCCAAAACCCGTAGCCTCAGACCTAACCGAATTAAGAAGATAACCCCTGCATCACCACATCCAGATTAAATGTAACAAATTCATAACAGCTGCACTCTCGCAAGCGAAGTCTTGGCGTACATAAAGCTCAATTCGTAAAACTCTTGCCAAAATTCGAAATTTCACGCCCGTCGAAAATGTATCCATCCTCCGCGTCATCTTGTAAGCTTGTCCTGATCCCCCTCACGTCCATCTCAAAGAACTGTCTCCCAGATTTGTGCGCCACACTTTGCTTCCTCCGTCGGGTGTAAATATCGGCGTGGGCGTGCGTTTGGTGTTCAGCTAAGGCCAGAGAATAGTCGACTAGACGTGTGGACATTGAAACGAGGATGTAATAGGTCGTACTTGTAGACTTGATGAGGCCTAGTTGAGAATCGGACTTTTTGGGAGCAAAAGAATGTCATGATGGAGTAATTTGAGTTTTTGCCTCGTGGGTCAACTTCTTTGATATAGCGAAATTTGGCTGAACATGGCTCTGGGAGAATATTTCATTCCCAGGTATGAAGAGGACACCACGTACAGGTGTTTAGTATTACCCTCATTGCATAATAGGCCTCTTCTCTTGACATCGAGACTCGCTTGGCGGTGCTGGGAATCGAACCCAGATTGAAACGGTTCAGTGCGGCAGTAGCCACAACGTCACGTGCTACCATTACACCACACCACCCGTAGTATTACCTCTGTTACACTAGACATGTACTATGTCGTTTCGTTTCCGTTATTCGTATCATTTAATACTGCGCCACATCTATTTTCTGTAATATTAATTAGTCTTGGCGCTTAACACAAGATATGTTGGAGGTTATGGTATATGCATGATTCTGTCTTAGACAAAGCTAGCTTGGGGGTCTACTGGTGGTCAAGACATACCTTCACCATGATAATGTCGCCATACTGGGACATGGGCGCAAATCCTGGCTTATTTCTAAATTCGTCTCAGTAGGACTAATTCCTGTATACAAAACAAACAAAACAAACAAACAGTAGCAGTAGATCATTATCGACACCTAACACATCGCATCACCCATTACCCTTATTTACAAGAATCTTCAATCGGTGCAATGGCCCCAGCTGTTGCATCGTCATCGACAACGCCCTCCAATCCAGGAGGGCAACTTCACCCAAGCCTGCTTGGCATTGTGAAAACAATGCACAAAGCAGAACAACAACGGAAAGAAAGACTGGATATAGCCCAGGAATTTCTAGAACTAATCGACTCCTGGGCTAAGAGCAAAGGAGAGAAACAAGCAGCAGCAGTTGTCGCGACTCTGCTGGAAAACATCACGCCTGTTATCACTGCCTTTGCAGTAGATCAGGTAGAAGCATCTAACTTTCCAAGTGAGAAGCCCCCCACCATGGCAAGCACTCCAAAACCAGTCGCGCCTAGGAAAAATACAGCTGTTGAGGATCACAGCCACGCTCTACCCCCAAAGCCTCAAGACACCAGCTCGCCCTGGATGACAGTAGCCCGTAAAGCGGCCAAGTTACCGACACCACCAAATGTGCAAGTTCCGCGAAGGCCTGCTCCATCAAGCCACCCGAAACCACAGACAACCCAAAAGGAGGACAAACGCCTGTTCCTTCGAT